CCAAGAACAAACACATGGTTCAGGGGCTAGGAATCGAAGCAGATTCCAGGCCTCACTGTGGTCTCCTCACCTAAGCTCCATTGGAGAACGTGGGCTGCCCCACCTTCCCTGACCCGCCATCAGCTGTGGGACGACAGGCTGTTGCGACAGAGAGGGGAGAGAAAGGGGGTCCTTCACCCACGCTGTGGCCGCGGATGCCGGCCGCCCACCCCAGTCCCACAGAGACATGGCCACACACTGACGTTCAGCCTGCCTTGCGACCATGAGGCCAGGCGTGCAACCAGGTTCTTGCCATGAGGGGAGGTGACAGGCTTCACCTCCAGGTCAGGCCCCTTGACCACATGCCTGTTTCCCGTCCTGCTGACTGGGGTGGGGTCGGACCCCTAGGGTGAGGCCGGGACACCACACGAAGAAGAGGGCGCAGCTCCACCAGCCTGATGACCGCGTGGTGGAGGCTCACCTGCTCCCACTGTTACACGGCCTAAAAACAGGCTTCTATTTGTGGCAGAACCAATGCATAGGCTCGCGTGCACTTGTTGTGACAGTTGGCCAACCTTCGCTAATATACTTACATAAGCGTTGTTCCCCATTCCGGAACTGGGGCACATGACTGTATTTTAGCCCCAATAACCGTGGTTAGTAGTTCTTGAGCACTTGTTATCCTAAGAACTTCATATTAATTAACACTTTACCCTTAGAGCACATGCCTGTGATGGGGGTTTTTAGTCCCATTTTACAGTTGGGGACACAGAAAGGTTAAGTGACCTGCCCAAGGTCAGGTAGCCAGGAATCAGAGGAGCTGAGATTCGAGCCCAGGCCGGGTGGGGTTTAAGAGTTTGCAGTTCCAATCGCTGCCGTGGAGAAACCACGACATCCACAAAATCAAATACTCCATCAGCCAGGTCAGCGTGTTCTAAATTATTCCCATATCCCGACGGTTACCGCTGTCCCCTTTTCCAGGAGCTTCTAGGAACCATGACCTGGAAGCTCCAGCTCAGAACCAGGGCCCATTGGCAGCTGCCAGGTCTGCCTCGCACCTCCATCCGTGCGTCCGCCTGGGCTTCGGCATACTCCCCCCACCTCCTGGACCCTTGGCTCTATTCCCCACGAGACTCCGCTCTGATTCCAAGTCATCCCCAACTCAGACCACCAGCCGCCTGCCTCCTCTAGACATCGCCCCAGCTGCTGCCGAGACGATGGATTCCCCTGCACCTCCCAAGACGACACCACGTGGGCAGGCACCTGTTTGCCGGTATGGGCCGCTCTCCGTCTGGCCTAGTCCGCGGACTGCCTCACTCATATTCCCATTCTGACTTCGCTCGGTCATTCATTCACATTTTTACTGGATGCTGACCAGGTCCGAGGCATGGGCTCAGGGCAGAGGACGGGAGGGTGAACCGAAAGGCACCCCCCGGCCCTCGGGATACACAGGGTCAGGGCCCCGTGCCCTCCATCCCATCCCTCCTGGATCTCTGCACGTCGCCACCCTCCAAATCAGGACCTCTGAAAACACCTCTCCTCTGGGGCCCCAGCCTCTCCTCTTCAGGACTCTTGAAGCTTTCTTAAACCCCAGATTTGCACTCCGATCTCTGAGTGTGGTCTGATGATGTCAGAAAGGCCTAATGGCACCCGATGCCCCGCCAAAGCTGGCCTACAGCATCGCGTCACTGGCCCACGGGGTGGGGGTGGGGGGTAAGGGGGGGCAGGAGGTGTCTGTCGCTGGATTTAGTCTTAGGAAGACAGAACACATCACTCTGGTGCAGAGATGTTTATTTTCTCTCCCTCAACGTGTAACAGGAAATTAGGCAGTTCACCTTTGTAAGTCGTTTGCATACCGCTCATGCATGAGCCAGATGGCATCTGTTTGTTTTAAGAAATTAAAAATGGAAAAGGAAGAACATAAGGAGGAGTTTCTACCTCTCCCCTGCACCCCCCCCCCCCCCCACACTCTGGAACCTGTGCCAGGCAGGTGAGCGCAGACTCAGACACACACGCCTGGAGTGCGGGCACGGAGCTGCACCAGGCACCAGAAACGGGCGTCCCGCTGCCTGCAGCAGCAGAGAGCGCAGGCCTGCCAGCACGGAGCCCGCATGCAGAGAGGGCCCTTTGGAATTCCACTGCCTGATCCGTCACTGCTGTCCCCCAGAGCTGCAGCCAGTGCAGGGAGCACCAAAGTCTTTCCTGTGTCACCAGACTTGGCCCTGAGATTCATGAGCAGGACCACATACACACTGACCAGAAGAACAGGCACCTACTGACAACCGCACTTCTGTCTAGGCTGAAACCCTGGGAAGGACATTTTCCAGAGGGGGCCCCCTGAAAGACCCCACGGCATGATCGCCGTGTATTGTCCAGCGGTCAGGAGAGTCCTCTCTCCGAGACAAGAATCACCTCTAGAGATGAGGTTATCCCTGGGGTTCTCCCGCCTTGGGCGTGAAGGGAACTGAGGGAGGTAATATAAACAATAATTTATCCAGGAAGTAGTATATTCCAGGTTCTTAGGGCAAAAAAACCCTGCTTAACATCAAAATAACTATTGAGAGGCTATGCTTGTCCTCATTTTTAAAACGGAAAAATGAAGGAGAGGTCAGGGCAAGTGCATGGAGGTCCCATGGCTGCTGGCAGTACTGGGAGGTAAACAGGAGAAATCAGGCCCAAATGCAGAATTCCCTCCTCACCCTGATGTCTTCCAATAAGGATAAGACTTCTGGGTTCACTACTGATGTGACCTCTGGCAAACCACGGCTGCCTTTTGTGGCACTGAGGTGGCGGGGGGGGGGGGGGGCGCTGTGCAGACATCACACCCGGTGAGCGGCTGACCCCACAGGCAGGACACACGCTGCTCTCCGGATGCGGACAGTGCAGCATCGCCCCACCCTCAGTGGGGTGCACCGCTTTCCGGGGCGCACCGTATTCTTACTGCAGTGGCTGTCCGTTTGCACTCTGTACGTCCTTGGGACCAAAGACACATCCTCAGGCCAGCTGGCCTCGCGTACACCGGGCTTGGTAGGCATGGAAAAGGAGCTGTGGGTGCCTGGAACGTGCAGAGCTGCCCGCCTCGCTCTCCCTTCCGTAACTCCCGGCCTGCCCCAGAGCCCGCGGAACGAGACGGATGTGCTCCTTGGAGCTTTCCCAGAAGTAAAGAGCACGAGCGCACAGCTGTTAAAGCAAGGGCACAGCAGTATTGTTTGAAGACCTGATTTTTTTTCACCTCTGAAATCAGAATCAAGAAATATTAACTGTGCCCATTGAGACGAGTCTGAAAGCTGAGTTTGCACACATTCCGGTCTGATGTTGTTTCCCAGGACCCTGGTGAAGCCAGCGGAAACCAGATTGGCATAATCAAACGCCTTCCTCACACAGAAAAACAATGACCCATTCCTCTTTTTTTTCAGCACCAATACAAATGTGAGTTCAGCCAGACAGGCCAGCAAATCCCATTACACAGAGTGCAAAGGCAATTAAATGGTGCCAGGTCCAGCTAGACTCAAGAAATCTATGGCCCATGAGTCCTCAGTAACCATACCAATGCTGCTCTGTAAAATGCCTGAAGAAAAGTGGTCTAGATGCTAAAGAAAGGCCCTGCTGTACTATTTCGGGGCAGGTTCGCCCTGGCCATCGGTCTCTGGCGACCCTGCTCCGAGCTCCTTTTCCCGTATCTGGGGATGTGGGACAGGGCGGGTGCGGCAGACGTGCAACCTCCCCTGCTGCTCGGTCCACTCTGCCTCACACCCTCTCATGGTGCTGTAGCATCTGCCATCCTTTGTACCAGGAACAAATTACTTTCCAGCCACAAGGGGCATTTCTCAACCACTCCATTTTTCTTTAAGCCATGGCTAAAATGAAGTGTCTCGAGTGACCAGTTTTAATGTCCTGTTTAGACAAAGCCATCAGGAGGAACACGCAGACAGGACTACTCTGCAGCTGCCAACCCCAAACCCCCAGCCTCCTGGTGCACCACGCTCAGGCCAAAAGGACAACTGCGGGCTCTGAGCCTCACAATAACCTTTCATTCCTTACAAAGATGAGACAAACGGCTGCCATGCCTCCAGAACACTGTCCCACCCTCTCCTCATACCACATTTCCAGGGTCCTTGTCCAGGCAATGTTCCCAAAGTAGATTCTCCATGTTTTTGAGGCATCTGCCTTCCAATCGGTTTGTAGAAGTTACTCCACCTCTGTATCTCGTGTTGTACCTGTATCTCCCCCGCTTTTTTAGTCAAATAACACTCATGTCCACTCATTCTTTCCCTGGCAATAGCGACACTATCAAAACCACTCAATGATCCACAGGAAAATTATTTCCAAAGACTAAGGAAAAAAAGTTTCTGGGCGCAAAATAAGACACCTGTTAATATAAATCAACAACCACGTGAGGTAAAATGGAACGTATCACAATCAGAAGGCTTTTTCTAACCTGTACGTCTCCCCACCATTGGCAGTGACAACATGCTTCCTCCCCTCATCTTCCCTAAGCCCCCTGGACAACTATGCTCAGCAACACATGAAACATTTTTGCTACTTTACTTTGTGTCCTAGCTTTTCACCAAAGTTACCTTTGAAAACTAGCCTACAGTGGTCAGCAAATAATTTCAGAGAATCCAATGTGTTGTGGGTGAGGCTGAATCGGAGACTGAGTTGGAAGGTGTTAAAATGTAGCACCAAGTTGGGTCTGTCTGCTTAGGGATGGATATATATTCTTTTTTCATGAAGAATGAGTATTTGTTAAAGATGCAAATGGGAACACCATGCGTATGTCACTGCAATGTCAGGGTACAGCTAAGTTACACATCCGAGAAGGGGGAGGAGTGAGCTATAGAGAGAATAATAAACAAGCTGCCAAGGTGTAGGAGTGGCCAAAGGATAATCATCGAGTGTCTGTAAAGGCACGGCTGTGCTCGTGTGTGTTCTGGAGTGACAGGGTTAATGGACAATGACAAGACACGTAAGCAGGGTGCTAGCTCTGTCATGGAGTCCTGCAGCTAAAAGAGCCACCTTACCCTGTAGTAATCCGTGCTGTAGACATCCCTGGACATGCCGAAGTCCCCGATCTTCACCAGCAGGTTGGCTCCGACCAGGCAGTTCCTGGTGGCCAGGTCCCGGTGCACGAAGTGCTGGGAGGCCAGGTAGACCATGCCCGAGGCAATCTGACTGGCAATGTGGAGCATCTGGGAGAGCCCCAGCTCGCCTTTCGCCTGGCGTGGCTGCCCATCCACGAGGATCATCGCATCCGGCCCATGGGCCCTGTGGGAGGCAGGGGGGCAGAGGGGACGGAGAGGATCAGGAGACCAGGGGGAAAGGCCTGGATTCCCGGTCCTCTGGAATGCACCACTCACGTGAATGCAGCCTCCGTTCCCGGCCTGCCTGGAGCCTCTTTCTGGGGCCCCCCAATAGACTATGTGAGTGTGGATATGGGAGAAACTGCACCCAGGTCCCCAGCTGGGACGACAGCTGACATGCTCTCGTGCAGGGATCTCCAGCCTTTCTCATCTCACGGCACACATAAACTGATTACTAAAATTCTGCGGCACACGAGAAAAATTTTGCTGATCTGACAAAAAAAAAAAATAGGGATAATTTTGATTCATTCACACCAGACAGTTATTGTGGTGTTGGCTGTTGTCATTCTTTTATTTGACATCTAAGGGAAAAGAGGTCAGGGCCCCTGACTGCATAGTCAGGGATGGCATGTTTTAAAAATTCTTGAGGCACACCGGGTGAAAATCACTGGTCTAGTGGGTCAGGGACTAAGCCTGCTTTTTTAGACTATTTAGTTTATATCCAGGGCTTCCCAGGTTCTAGAGGTCTAGTATAAAATAATAAAACAGTCAACTATTACATGGCCCTTATTCAGTTCCATGCACTGTTCTAAGTATCTTAAACACAATGTATATTAATTCACTTAATCCTCTTATCTCAATCGTGAGATAAGAAAACTGAGGCACAAAATGATCAGATCACCTGACCAAAGTCCCAGAGGTCCCACAGTGACCACAGGAGTTTTTGGGAGCAGATGGAGCCAGACCTATGGCTCTAGAAGCGAGTTCTATACCTTAAAGGGCACCAAGAGGGCTTGGTCTTGGCTCCCTGGGCCCCGCCCACCAGGATTCTGACTGGCTGGGTGGAGCTCATTCATTTGCATCTCCCGCGAGCTCCCGCTAGTGATGCTCTGGGTAGGAAGACACTTGAGCCCACTCTCTGACCACACTGCCCTGTTGGTGGCGGGGCCCAACACAGAGATCCTGAGGCCCTAAAGCAAAGGCCTGGGGAGCCCCAACATTCTTCCCATCCCAAATCAAGGCCTATGTTTGTGATCCTAACGCCTTGCCCTGTCACTCAGTCACTTTCAGTATTTCCTCTTTTCTCCAGAAAGCCCAATGAGCCCAGGGCCCTTATTTATGGAGTCATGGTCCAAGGAGTCCTGGGGGACAGCGAAACCTCAGCCTGTTTCACTGCTTCTCCAGATTCCACCGAAAGGCACCGTTCAACACGGGTGTGGTATTTTATGATCTGCATGTGCCGGGGAGGAAGGTGGGTCAGCAGATGGCCCGCGCCTGTCCTCTAGGAGGGCACACTGTCCCCCAAACCCACCAACGGCAGATGTGAGAGCAGAAAGGACCCACTCTCTGTTTCCTCCCCATCCCTGACACTGTGCAGAGCACTGGCCCAGATGGGCACCCAGGAGCTCTCTAGCCCTGCTGGTGGCACTTGGGCTGAAGGCTCAGTTGAGTCCACAGAGAAGGTATGGAGGAAAATGGAGCAGGTCCTCAAGGGAACAGAAGCACAAAGTGGGGAACTTCCTGAGACCTGAGAAAGGGTGTCACCTGCCTCAGAAACTACCACAGTCACAGTTGTGATAAAAAGAATAATTGTAATCATTTTAGTAGTAGCTACTTTGACTGAACAGCTGGCTGCGCAGAACACTCATCTAGGAATGATAGAAATACAGTCATTTAATAGTCATAACAACAAACCTGTGAAGCAGTTCTTAATGGCCTTGTTTTCTAGGGAGAGAATTAAGGTTTAATAACTTGCTCCAGGTTATATCACTAAGATGTGACAAATTCGGGATGTAAACTCAAGTCTGCCTTATTGATAAGGACTCAGTTCTCCAGGAAAGGACTAAATTTCATTGTGAAACCAAGTTCAAGAGGTTTAGACCATCTTTCGAGTACCTTCCATTTCCCTAGGGCCATTTTTTGGAAACCCGCCTCATAAGGTGAGCTCGTTCCTGGCTGTCCACCCTATCCAGTCCCTTCTCAAAATCACAGCATCTACTTGTGAGATAAGAAAACTGAGGCACAAAATGATCAGATCAGAAGTGAGTGCCCCACTTCAAGCAGGCGCTTGCCAGTTTTTGGTGAATGTGCTAGAATCTTCGACAACCTACATTTGAACCTGAAAATCTCCTTCTCCGCCACAGAATTCAATAGGATTCAAAAGGCGGCTAAGCGTCCAGCACCTGAGTGTTCGCCCCGCTTCTGGGGGCTCTGAATTCCCCAGGTCCTCACACACGGCTGCCCCTCCGTCGGGCACTGCTTGGAGGTGATGGATGTGGGGAGCAGGGAGGTGCTGACTGAGACGCTGTCTTCTCGGGGGGCTCCTGGACGGGGTTCCTGTCCCTTACCAGTTCCATCAAGAGCCTCTCAAAATCCAGGCAGCCTGGCTCTAAGATAGGGAAAATCCTCTTACAACAAATCCAATCTTTCTAGACAAGCACTATCCAACGGAGCTTTTCCTAGTGGAAATGTTGTAAACTGCACTGCCTAATATGGTAGCCACATGTGGCTATTTATTCAAAATGTGGGTAGTGAGACCAAGGAAGTGAGTTTTAAAAACTTAAGTGATGTAAACTTAAATCGAAATAGCCGTGTGGCTACTACATTAGACAGCACAGTTCTAAATTTATCCAAGGGAAATCTACCCCTTTTTCCAATGATGTCTGTCTCCTGATGAGTTTGTAAGCTTGTGCCTTCCTCTTCCGCATGAAGATGTCTCTGGTGAAAAGCTTCCCGAGGGCTGGGGGAGGTGTGAGCATTAGCCTGACTCTGCAGCACTGAGAAACGTGAGGCACCAAGTGGGAAAGCTGTTCTCATCACCAGGGCAAGGGATGGCCCTGGACCCTTGGAGGTGGGGGTCACAGGCTGGCAGGCCCCCCGGGAGCCCGTGCCAGGCCCTGCCCCTCTTCTCTGTCCACCCTGAATCAGGAAGAGGAGTACAGGTTACTTGTCACAGCATCCTCAACTTTTTCTCCCTAGCAATCAGGGATAAGGGCCTGAATCCAGCTGTTCAGCAGATGATGCAGAAAAAATGAAAGGGTGCTTCTCAAGTCTAACCCCAGACCTACGTGTCTGAAGGAACAACTATAACCTCTGGCTCCAGAGAGGACCCCTCAGGTTGGGCAGGGCTGGGTCAGAGCCCAGGGGAGGGGACAGCAGCCCTTGCTTACCTGAGGAACTTGTTCAGGTCCCCATGCTTCATGTACTCAAAGACCATGATGAGGGGGTCCCCATCACCACACACACCGTAGAACTTGACAATATGCTCGTGCTGCAGGTTGGTAAGCAGCTCGGCCTCCCTCTGGAAATCCTTCCGGGCAGCCAGGGTGGGGTCCTTCAAGGCCTGGGAACAAGGCAGGACAATGGTTTTTAGCAACCAGAGGACAGGTTCCCCAGCTGGGAAGAACCTGGTGCTCACAGTAAAGACCTGCTGGTTCCCAACAAGTGAGATTTTCATCGGGGCTCAAAGACTGTGAGGCTAAGTCACAACAGCCGGGCCTGACTCCTCCTCCAGCTCCTTCATCCTGCACCAACAGGAACCAGCTTTCTGACACCCAAGCCCAGACACCAGCCTATGACTTCAGATCCTGCTCATCTCCAAGTCCTGGGCTTCCTCAGAGGTGGGTGTGAATGGCAGAGGGAGGGGCTGTGAGGCGGGAGGCCTGACGAGGCCCCTTCCCTAAGGTCTCCTGGACACCAGGGTCCCGCAGCTAAAATGAACAGTGGCAAAACCTGCCCTCTGCCCGCCATAACTTTTTAAATTCCCCCGTGCCCAGAGTCAGCCAGAAATCAGGCAGACAGCGTAATCAAGTTTCCTTGCACTTTCCTTCCCTTGACTTTAGATGGTGAAGGAATAGATATTTACAGAGAAACGTCAATGGTTTGGCTTCTAAAGGCAATTAATGGGCACTAGACTTAGGATGCTCAGGACCAGGTGAAGGATGGCCAAGTCCCAGGGTAGGATGGCAAGTGGGCATCTGGTGGCCACCGAAATGTCACACCCTGTGTGAGGACTAGGCACCAGAGCAGGCCACCTGCCCCAGGGCCAGGGAAGATAAGTAGAGGAGAGGCCTGGTGTAAATGCAGACTTTCCGGCACCAGAAGGGATGGTGAGACCAAAGCAGAAGAGTGTGAGCAAACACAGGGGCGCCCTTGGGGACGCAGCGATGGTGGCCACCCTGGGGAAGGAGCTGTGAAGGCTGGGGGCCGGGGTGGGCGGGGAGCGGGAGGGGGAAGCTTTCTGCAGGAGCAGCCACCTGGGCAGGTGAGCCCACACCTTTCTCCAGCCTCCCTACCCTCCCAACACAAGAGCGGCTTGCTTCAACTGACACAGTGCGGGAACCTCAGCCGGCAGGGCAGGAGGCAGGGAGGGAGTGGGTGTGCAGTTCGTGCACCCCCCGTTCAGGGGTAGCGAGAATCTAGCCATGGGAGATGGGTTTCCGTGCCCTCTGCCAGGCACCGGGCCCTCCCTGCTGCCTTAGGCAGACTGGCCTCCCCTGGAGAAGGCGCTGCTGCTGCTGACAGGCCTCCCAGCCGGAGAGCTCCCTGGCCACCTCCACCCCCATTGGCTGAAACCCACAGGGGTGCCCGGGCTCACAGCACAGCAGGACTGGGAATATGCGGAAGCTGTACCTAGGGGCCCGTCCCCCTCTGGGGCATCAGCATACACAGGCACAATGGACTCTTAGCATGAAAAAGGCCCCAGGGGGCCCAGCCTTGTCTAGCCGTGACCTTGCTGTTACATCTTAAAGGACACCTCCTGTCTCTGGTCTGCAGGTCAATGGCAAGGCCTCTAGGGAGGACCTTAGCTGAAGGTCCAGGTCTCTCAACCAGAGATCAAGTCCCACTCCAAATTCAACCAGCACCTTTCACTCTTTTCAAAATTTGGAAGTTTCACCACAAAAACACGATTGACTACATGGCTTCGCTCCTGACAGGAATGCTGGGCGTTACCTAGTGCGACTCTCCCATTTTACAGGTGAGAACTCTGAGGTCCAGAACGAAAAAAGAGGTAGCTCCAGTCTGGAACCCCCAAGGCTTTCTTGTCCAGCACACCTGCTTGAATTAATCTGTGAGGTGAAGCAGTCGCTCGGCAGGTCCCCGGGGAACAGTGAACAGAGAAGTTAAAAGATGGGACGGAGGAGAGGGTCCAGACAGGTAGGAGTGTGGCCACCAGCAGAGGGGCCGGCCCAGCGAGGATGCCAGGCTGCAGGGCCGGCGGAGGCGAGGCGAGCGGGACATCCAGCGGCCCCCTGCTCTTCCACCAGCCCTGGCCTATCTCCTGCGGGCCTGGCCGCCTTCTCAGGGAAGCTGCCCAGCCCTGAAGGAACAGGCTGCTCTGTGTGTCCACCGACAACAGGAGCAAAGACACCAGCCAAGAGGCAGCGGGCGCCTCTCGGTGATCCAGCTCCAGCTCCTGGCTGCGGCCCTGAACTCCACGCGCTGGGGCGTGGGTATCGGATGACTGCCAGTGATTTATTTATTTTCATGAAGAACTAGGAGGGAAGAAAAGGAACCTAGCGTGGGTGGGATGGGAGAATACAAAGATTTATGTGAACACTGGATTTATGAGAGGGAAAAGTAGATCAAATTTGGGGCCAGCCAAATGGCCTCTCTCCATCTCTGTAAATCATTCTCTCGTACGGTCCTGGATGCCAAGGGCAGCCACTGGATAGTCAGTCCCGTTCCCAGCTCTCCAGCAGTGCCCGCTGGCGTCCCCAAGGCTGGCACCCTCCGCCTTGAGGCACACAGGAGACAGGCCTGCGGCCTCCCCACACCCCGTCCCCGGCCTGCGCAGTGGGACCTCCAGCTCCTGGGTCAGGCCTGAAGCGCTTACGCAGCTGGCAAAGGGTGGTGTGTGGCCACGGGCTGCCGGTGGCCCCGATCCCCAGCGACTGACACAACTGGGACAGAGGTGGCCAGGGGAGGAGAGTGAGGAGGAAGAGTGGCCCCGACATCCCTCGCCTCTCTCTGTGGAGTTCTCTTCCGAGAGAAGCTTCACATGAGTCTCCAGTGGGGGCAGGGAAGGCTCGGGGAGACAGGTCACGCCAAGGGGTCTCTGACGCCCTGCAGGCAGGATCCACAGAACAAACAGGGGAGCTGGAATCTGCCCCCTCTGACTACTCCCCGCAAAGCTTGAGGACTTTGCCCTTCCTTGCAGTCTTCCCCTCTATGCCTCAGCTCCCCGTTCACCCCAAGTGCTAGGTTTCGAGGGGCTAGTCGGCTGGATGGGGGGAAGCTGTCTAGAGGGCAGGGGCACTCAAATCCCTCAGCGGCTCCCCGCTCCTTCAGAGTCACTTAGCATCTTCACCTCATCCAGCCTCGGGAGTCTGCCGCCTGTTTTCCTTTTCCTTTTTTTTTTTAAATTGGGGGGAGATATTTCAGCCACAAAATCTCTCAACCAAGGCACATCGGCCAGCAGGGTTAACGCCGACTGTGTCCGAGGGACACACCAACGGGCACCCGTGAGGCCGCGAACCCCTGGGGAAGCCCTTGGCCCCAGGGAGGGGTGGCCGAGAGTCAGCCACAGTTGTTCCCACGCTCACCAATGGCAGTTATATCTGTTTCTGTCATCACTGACTGTAATGAGATGTCATGAAAACCAATGACTATAATTGCAAAGAGTAGGCTGTTAGTATGGAACCTACAATGAATATTTTGGAAAGACCTGATGAAGGCCAGTGGTTATAAAGTATTAAGAAGGAGAAAAACCTTTTTTTTTTAAATGGGAAACAGTAAAAGCAAGACATCCTGCACTTAGATTGTTTCACAAATGTTTTAAGGTCCATCTCAAGCTTAAGGTAACTGACACCTGAAATCACAGACACCCAGAACAAAGACACAACCATTCTCCAAACCAAAAGGAACCCAGAGGCTGAAGTCCAGACATATGGAAGGAAAGCTATGCTTAATCCAAGTAATCAAAATGATCAATTACCAGAACAAGGAAGAAATTTCCTGCAGATACAGTTAATTTTTTTAAGAATAGGCTGATAAAGATGTTAAAAATAAATGCTCAAAGAGAGTAAAGAAATAATTATTTAAAAAACCAAAAAGGTATTTAGCAAAAACAGGGAGAAATAAAATTAAGATAACAATCAAATTAAGGCCCAGTTAGATATCTTGGAAATAAATTATATAGTCATTGAGGTAAAAACAAAAAGTTCCACAGTGACCACTATCCTGATTTATGGAACTCGCGTCCTTGCTTTTTATATATAAATCGTTTGGACTACCTAAACATAAATGCCTGAACACTAGAGTTTAGTTTTACTTTTTTCTTAACTTTAAGTAATGGGATCATACATATAGCATATCTCCGTATCTGTCTTTTTTCATTCAACGTGGTGTGTTGTGATTCTTCCACATTGCTGCATGGAGCTGAGTCCATCCATTCTCCTCGTTGAGTAATCTCCCACTGTATGAATACATTACAATTATTATAGGCATTGGGGCTGTTTCCAGATTTTGGCTGTTTTAAATGATGCTTTACAAACATTCTTAGACAAATGTCTTAATACACAGATGATGGCTGGCTGGCTGGATAGACAGAGGGACAGATAGATACCTATTGGGTATAGGCCGAGAAGTGGGAGCCTTGGGTCACACACTACTCATGTTCTAGAATACCCAACGATTTTTCAAGAACAATTCCACCACTTTGCATTCCCACCAGCAGAGTATAAGCTGTACTGGCTCCATGTCCTTAGCAGCACTTGGTATTGTCACTGCTATTCAGCCATTCTACTTGCTGTTCAGTGGTATCTCATCATAGTTTAATTACCATTTTTCTGATACTTAATTAGGTTGGAAACCTTTCTGATATTCTTATTAGCTATTTGGCTATCAGAGGAGGCTCTTTTAAGATCTTGTAAGCAAGCATACTGCTTGTCAGATGACTAGAAGCGGCATCACCTATTACAAATCTCGCAAATCACATGACCTAACGTCACTCTCACACGACACATCCCCCCACACCCTGCCTTGCCCTGCCCTCCAGTTCTCTCACGGGGGTTCTCCTTGTCTCCCCAACAGAACACAAGCCTCTTCAGAACACAGGCTCAACTTCAGCTCTGCGTTTCCACCACAGCAACTGCGGGGCCAAAAGCTCTTGCCCATTGATTTAAAAGCGGAGTTTGGGGAAAACCTAATTTGGGGTTATACTTCAATGTGTTTCCTGAGAGCCCACAGTCACCCTGCAGCGACATGCGAAGGGGCCTGTGGGAGGAGTCAAGCCTAAAGGGGATGCAGAGGCAGGGGCGGGGCCTCTCATCTGCCCCCCGGAGGAGATGAGCCTCTTTTCCGCGGGCTGCTGGCTGGGCGGTCACTGGGCAGCCAAGGGCGCGAAATCCCAGGGTGCTCGTCTCCTCCAGGTTCCCAGACCCCGGGAGAAAAAAACCCTTCGAAAAGGATGAAAACAGAAACACATTTTCTGTATTACCCAATCTGGGCACTGCCCCTCAGTGCTGGACCGCTCAGCGGGAAACATTTCCCAGGGTTTCAGACCATCATTTCATTTCCTGCTTGAAGCACAGAAATGCTCAGGCCTTTCACCAGTTCCCAGGCGGATGCTGGAACGCCCCGTGGGTTACTGTCATCCTACAAATTAGGATTCAGGGCAGTGCAGATTCCAAGTTTACGGACAAAATTAGACACTTTCCCACAGCCCTGGTGCAAGCCATGGAAAGACACCCTCGCCCGTCCGACCGCCCCACATCCACGGAGGCCCGCAGAGCAGGCCTATTCTCAGGATGCCCCAGCAATGATCACCGTTAGCCTTTCACAGGGCAATACTCTAGTTCCTTACTTATTTCTAGGGCGAAGGCTGGCAGACTATGCCTATTTTTGTTTAAAAAAAAAAAGTAAAATAAAAACTATTGGAAAACAGCCATCATCCCTGGTTTATGTAGGCTGCTTTCCCACCGCAGGGGCAGAGGTGAGTAGCCATCTACTATCTGGCTTTTTAAAGGAAAAGTTTGGCAACCTCGACTCTAGGTGGTCGATGCAGGCTTGGCAGTCATATGGCATGTCTAAGCACATTCAATAATACCAGCATCAAAAACAGTAAGAATAAAAACACATAGCAACTACTTTTTATTGAGCATTTTTACCTATGTCCCAGGCAGTGTACTGAGGATGTGACATGTCATTTAATCACCCCAATTTTGAGAACGTATTCTATTTCCTATTATATAGGCAAGGGAACTGAGGTCCAAAGAGGTTAAAAGTCTTACAGAAGGCCACACGGCTAAATCGGCAGCAGGGCTGGGTCTCTGATGCCCACACTGTGCCTGTGGCCCACGCGGCCCTGCCTGCGGGCACTGAGGCCATGCCTCAGGGGAGAGCAGACCTCCAGGCGCGGCGCCGTGAACCGAGACCCAAAGGCACAGAAGCCTGACACCGTCCTGCGGGGGCGGGGGGCAGAGCGCTCAGTGCTCAGGACAGGGCCCGTTCAACGTCTGAGCGAGAGTCCTCACCGGGAGCGCACCTCCTGCCCCCAGCCCACAACGTCTGCTCTGTGTGCCCAGAGGCCAGCCCGTACTCTGCAGCGGGGCTCCTTAGGGCCATGGCCGCCTCAGTGAGGTGACTGGACTCGTTTGCACCACTCACGCTCAAAGATTTGTCTGACACTGCTTCACAGGCGAAGCTGGTCACTGCTGGAGGAAGTGTGTGGCCAAGTCCCTTCAGTACTACTGCAAGCAGCTCAGCTCCAGCTGCAGACCTGCCCAGCTGGCTCGGCAACCAAAGAGCCCTGCAGTTACTGGGCCATGGAGCCGCTGCCGGCAGGCAATTACCCTCAGGCTCGTGCCCTTGGGGTCTGGGCCTGGATCCCACGGCGGGTGTCTAAGAGCTTTTTCCACCTTCACTCACCCTCCTCCCTGGGCTCAGTGCCGGATACCCCTCCTGTCTCCTCTGTTGCCAGGGAGGTCTGCTGCCCTGGAGCAGCCGACCCCACCCAACTCTGCTCCTCAGAAGTGGTCAGGTGACCTTGCAGGCCCAGACACCGCCGTCTGCACGGTTGTTGAGGAGGGAGCCCAGGCGCTCCAGGACAGAGCCGGGGCCTTACACAGCAAGACCTGCTCCTCCAGCGGCACCTCAGGCACAGCCCCCTTACATGCTGGGTGACAGCTCTCAGCCTCCGAGGCCAAAGGAAGTTGGCTTTGGTCCCAAGGACACTTCAATGACCTTGGAGCAAAGGCCCGACTGCATCTGACAAAGCCAGTTTACACCGGAAAGACAGAGCCTCTTCTTCCCTGTCCGAGCCCGGCCACCCCTCTGCCTTCCTGGGGCCCACCCGTCCGGGATTTACCTTTACAGCCACCAGCATCTTGTCCTTCGTCGGGCTGAGGTTGTAGCACTCGGCCAGGAAGACCTTTCCAAAGGCTCCCTCGCCCAGTTCTCGCTTCAACACGATGTCCCTCCTCTTAATGTGCTGCACATCTGTGGGAGGGGGACAGAGAGCAGAGCAGCCAAGTCAGTCTCGCCCTCATTAGAGGCCCCGGGGGACAGCAGAGCACAGGGGTCTAGAGCAGGGCATCTGCTCCCTAGTGCACAGGAGGAGGGACAAACCCCAGCACCCCAACATGGGCATGAGAACCGGCTCTTCGTCGCGGTCTTAAAAGGGATCAAAGCTCAGCTCTGCCCGACACACGCCTAAGCTCCCCAGACCACAGCTGGACAATGGTCGACACTGGCCAATGCGCGGGATTCCAGGGCGATTAGCTCTGGTTTCTGGGGAGAGGACTCGGCGGACTGGGCAGCCAGTGCGCATGGGGCTGCCCTGGGCCTCAGGCTGATCCCGGGTCAGGGCCTGAGAGTCTGCGTTTCTAACAAACTCCAGGTGACGTCTGTGTGCTTTCGGTCCACAGACGCGCACTTTGAACAGTGAGGTCACTAGGGCAGTCAAGAACTGGGTTTGAGTTCTGGCTCCTCCTCTTGGCTCGTTTTTTTGGGCTTGAGATAGTTCTGTCACCCCAGAGCCTCGACTTCCTCACCTGTGAAGTGGGGTTAACACCAGCGCCTCACTTGCTGGATTCTAGAGGAGACTGAGCGAGATAACCCACATGGAGAGTTTGGCCCAGCGGCCAGGAGAAAGGACAGACGGACACGCACTCGCGTACCTGCCGGCACACACAAGGAGACACACTGGCTCCTGCTAAGCGGCTGAGACAAGTCTAACACAAAGTCTGCCCTGTGACCAAGACTACCAAGAGGCAGCCCAGGTTACCGAGGGCAGTGCCCCCTGACAAACCCTCCTCCTGGACGAGAAAGACCAGCGAGACCATGAGAGCCGAGTCCAGAAGGGGGCCTCCAGGGGCCAGGGTCTGCGGACAGAGAAGGCAGCTGTGGCGTGGCCCAGTTAGCGACCTAATTAAAGCCGGTCTGCAGGAGAAGGCACGGAGGTGCCCTCAGCCACCTGCCCATTTGAAAAGAGCGTCAGGAAGGGGGCCGGGCAGGAAGTAGGGAGCCAGAGACCACTCACGGGCCTTCCCGCGGCCATCAGCAGGCGGGAGCCTCCTCCGTCTGTGGCGTCACCAGGGGGGAGCTCCGCAGCGCCAGGGGAGAGGACGGCCTCAAATGACCTTGCCAGAGAAGGGCAGCTGAAGACAGGCGGCTATGGTAGGTGGGTCCCCTGAGTGTCAAGGAGACCTGGGACTGGGACAGAGGGATGCAGCTACAAGACTTTGGTTACTGATTTGGTTGGCTTGGGGGTTCCTTTCAGAATAGACCATACAAAATTTTTATTTTCTATCAGAGCTCTTGGTGCCCCCACCTTGTCCCAGATGACCTGTTGGTGAGGAGCTGTGAGAGGACACATTTGGGGACAGACCTGCAGGGTCACAGCTGCTCGCAGGCCAGGCCACGGGGCTTCCAGGTGGCTGTCGCATGCTGCAGGGCCATGCCCCAGTCTTTACAACAAGGGAATTAAAAATCAGTTCCCTCCTTCCCACCCTCTCCTGCTATTTTGGCTATGGGCCAAATACATGAGGCAAACCACCTCCATGTGGACAACCCCACGTACCAACAAGATTCTAGAACCAGGCCACCACAGGCGTAGCTGCTTTCCCCGAACCTAAGTAAGAAGAAGTTTGGTAAGGGAGGTGAATTTGTGCCCAGACCTGCTATTTGCTCCACTTTCAATTCTCACAACAGATGCGTGTTATTGTACCTCTTTTACAGGTGGAAAAATGGAGGCAGGGGTAACTTTCCGAAGTTCCCAGAGCTGAAGCACAGCTCAGGAAGGACTCCTCCCTTCTTTCTATGGATCTGAGCCTGTGTTCTTTCCATCACGCATGGCTGCCTGTCCTGTGTCTTCCCTACTTTGCAGCCACCAAGACGATGTGGTGCACAGCAGCTCAACCCTCCATCCTCCCCCTTCTCCTCCTCCCGCCCCAACTTCTCTCACCTGCCCGCCCTGGGGCCCAGGACAGCGGCTTCCCCAGGGACAGAGTAGGCCCCCTTCCTGGAGGCCCTGGGGAGAAGGGTGTGGGAGGCAAGGCCCTGAGGAATGACTGGAGTGAACCGTGTCTATTTCTGACATTCACGCATCTATCTGGGCCTCTTTCTGCGCGTATTTTTAGCTCACACAGAGCTGTGTCTGGTGAAGCCATCTGACCCACACGCCAAAAAGTGATGGATTTTCCTAGCAGGGGAGGGCATCAATCTCCTTTTACTGCCTGGCTGGCCAGCCCAGCAGAGTCTGGGTCACAAAACCCAGACGCCAGGACACTGGCAGGGGAGGAGGAGAGGGAGCTGCACGGCCCAGGCATGGGAAGACGTCCCAGTCTCCAGCAACGAGGGACCGCTGGAGAGAGCAAGGGGCCAGGAGACAGTGGGGAGGCATCTCTGGGAGACGGACAGGGTTTCTGGCACATTCTGGCCTGGCTTTTCCCTACTCCCTTTTTCAAGAGAGCCACTCACTGAGCCCCCACAGAGGAAGCCGCGGGAGAGCTTCCCTTTGCGTCAGACAACTGGTCCCTCAGACAAATGCAGAAGTTCCGTGTCGCCGTTACTGCTCCACAAACAGGTGTCTGTGCCGAGGGCCAAGCTGACGCCTCTGTACATGTGAGATTCACTTCTGGGAGGTCTTCCGGGGCAAGCTCGCACCTGGGGCAAGCTTGACCTAGGGCGGCATCACTAACCCAAGATGCCACCTCTGACAGAAGACCGTGGAGTCCTGAGAGGTCAGAGGGCGGGCTGTGGTCACCCCCTGGCCCTGGCTCTGTTCCCCTGAGAGGCAGAGGTTTCCCACCACACCTTCTGTGACCTGTGCAGGTCAATCTGCTGGACAGCCAGACATGGCCAAAGACACAGGTGGCCATTGTCAGCCTCACTGCTATGTTCTTGGGGGAAAGGGGGTGTGACAGGGATACACTCCTCAGACCTGCCGGCCTAGGAGGGAGGAAGTACAAAACCCCACAAAACCGTGTTCCTGAGGGAGTGAGGGCCTGGGGACAGAACAGGTCTGTATTCGAGTCCGGACCCTGAGCCTATCGCCTCTTAGACCCCATTCCTGAGCTGCAGGTCGGAAACGTGAGCATCTGGTTGGCAGGGTGGTTAAGAGGATGGATTTAAAATGTTTAGGTCATAGAGATCATTGGAAATAACTGAAACATAGTGGACATTTAACAAAAGTAGGTCTCCTTCCTTTCTGCAATGTTTCCACTTCTACTAAGAAATAAATACACCTGTGAACAAAACAGCAGCCTGGAAAGAAGCTTGCAGAAGGGTAGTGATGTCGCCTGGAAGTAAAATGGGCTGAGGTTGCTCGGAGGGCGGCCGGCACTGGCTCAGGGGGTCACGTGCGGGCTGTGCAAGCCTGCCACCACGGTATCCAACCTCTTCCTCCCTCAGAGTCCCAAACAGGCCGCGGGAGGACATTGGTCAGACAATGGAATAAAGACATCAAAGACAGAGACACCCAGCTACTAAAGACTGCTATTGATCGGCAGAGAAAAACCAGATTTCCCAGGGTCGGTGTTTATAAATAACGGCGAATCTGACTCTGCTGTGTGTCAGGCAGCAAAGACAGTCCCCGAAAGCCAGCCCAGAATGTCTTAACAGGAGATCACTGGTGACCTTGGAGCTCTGATGATTGTCCCAAGAGGACATGCATGTGGAGGGTGGGTGGGAGGCCGGGGCAGTGGGTGGGGGGGGACTGAAACCGTCTTCCTCAAAGGCTGTGGCCTAAGGGACTCAGACGCAGGGCCGGCCAGTTGCTCTCTCGCTGACCCCACCCCACGGGCTCTCCTAACCACCCTGCCTTCCCCTCTCCTCTGACCACTGTGACACCCAGTCCCTAAGTGGTCCCAGCCGCACAGCTGAGACAGCTCGGATCCCCCATCAGCTGTCTCACACTGGGCCGGTCTGTGTTCCCTTATCATTACCCCCTGGTAGTATTAACGATCAGATAACGGCCACTGAGTGAGCACTTACCCTGAGCCAGGCTCTGTGCTAAGCTCTCTCCATGAATCACCTAATTCATCTCAAGTCGCTTCAACCCAGGGTGTTACTGCCCCAAGTGCTGCGGCTGAGGAAGCTGAAGTGCAAGGCGATAAAGTAATTAGCCCAAGGCCACCCAGATGCTCGAGATGGCCCGCTAGGCTCTGACGCCCAGCGTGAGCAGATGGCATCACGCTGCCATGCTTCACGGCGCGTCCCACCCCCCCGCCCCCGCCCCGTGCCCCTGCGTCTCCCACCCCGGAGGGAGGCGTTGCTTCCTGAACTGGCAACAGTACTTGGCGGCAACCAAACACACCTATCGTATAAGGACAGAGCGAAAGTCATTTCCAGGGGAACTTCCCGCCACCCCGGTCACCACCACCTGAGCTCAGCGAGGGAAGAGGGGGCGCCTTCTGGGGGTGAGGACGGCTCGTGGAAGAACAGAGTCTGGACAGCTTCAGGGGCCCCCGCGCTACGAGGTGAGTCCTGGGGACGACTGTGTGAATGGAGGAGGAGGGAGGCTCTTGGCAGAGAACAGAAGAAGAGGGAAGAGGGAGAGCAAGAGAGTCTCTGAGAAGTGTGTGTTTTCGTTACACTGGCCAGACCCTAGGGTCTCAGGCTGCCAAAAATGCTCAGAAGAAAACATTAATTCAATACCACACATTTAATTACACATGGAATGGAATGTCTTTAAGTAGAAGAGAATAACATTCTCAGGACTCCAACTGTGGGTTTTTGAAGTGGCAGGAGGGAGACCGAGGGCCTGTTTGGAGCCTGTGAGGGGGAGGAGGCCACCGAGAGGGCAGGCCTCACCTCTGCTAGGGGCGGACCTTCCCGGCCTCACACGGTCTCTCAGGCCCACTGGCTGTGCCTCACCTCATGACCTGCGTGGCAAGTGGGACTAATTTCCCCTTTGGTACTGCATGAGAGCGTGACTAGGTAAGTGTGCCCCCTCCCCTGGGACAGCTACGGACCCTTCGTGGTGGTCTGCAGCCCCC